AGAGGAGCCACTCAGGAAGAGATGGAAGGGACCCTTGGGCCAGGCTGAGACCAAGGAAGCTAGGCAGTGCCTGGCACAGGGTGCACCTCAGGGCCCAGCTCAGGGTGCCCATCCGCGGCCAGCATGGGGTGTGCGTCAGGACTTTCCCGTCGGGGACTGCCCCAGTTGTTCCTCAAGATGGTTCCTGTCTTCTCTTCCTTGAACTGTTGCCGGTCTTCACGGGGGATCTTCACTGCATGGTACTAGGGCACTGTGGCCTCGGGGTGCTTTGCCCGCTTGAAGAATCCCATCTATAAGGACGCCAAGCCAGACTATGAGGAGCTGCAGGGCAGAGGTCCTGGGGACACATACTCACAGCACAGAGCCTTGCCCCCACCACCCATGGGAGAGAAACAACCAGCTGAAGCAGAACAGAGACAGGCCAGCCGGTACCCAGCACCATGAGCAGCACCCAGGGTGCCACCAGTGCCAGGGCCCCAGGTTCTCATTCACAGCAAGAGGAAGATCAAGAGGGGGCCCGAGGAGCAGGAAAGGAAATCTTCTTGAGCCTCTGAAAGGGAGGCTTGGAGGTGGAACATCAGGACCTCTAACTCCCAAGATTTCTATCCACCCAAGCTTCTTAAGAGGCCAACAGCATTCCCCATAACACTATCAAGATCTGAGGAGGAAATGGCTTCCTCAACCCCTGCATACCTGGCCCCTTCACGCCTTACACACCCCCTGTGTGCTTGTACACTGGGTAGCATCTCCCTTAGGCAGGGACCTCTTTTCCCTGAATCCAGTACTCCATCCCCTCCTTACATCATGAGCATGCTGTCCTGCACACTAAGATGACCATGTGGCCTTTCCATACTCATACTCAGAACTGCCCAAGACTCCCACAAGCTCAGGCTGCACAGCATCTCCTTGCACATTCATCTGTGTACACTCTTCTGTCCACAGAAGAGATGTGCATGGAGCCTCTCCACACTCCTACATACTCAGCCCCATGAGCCCACCCAGCTCTTAGTGCATGCCCCCAGCTATATACACACACCCTTATAACCTCAGCCTCCTAATGATTTCTCACCTCTGTCACTAGGACTCACATCACCCTCATGCAAACATATTTCTTGTTCCTGATCCCTGAATGCTAGATCTGTGTTCATTCTCACGTACATACATACCCACATGCACACACACATAGTTGCAGACACATTCATGCACACACATGTTACCCCACAATCCCTGGACCCCCAACTTCCATGGCTGTGGGTTGCATGGCCAGATGGGCTGTGAGATAGTTTGTGGGGAAAGATGAGCTCTGACTGCTCCAATGGGAGAAGATGCATTAGGAAGTTGAGGGAGGAGGGGGGGCAAAGTTTTAAATCTTATGCATAGCAAGGAAATGATTAAGAGTATGAAGAGAGAGCCTACAGAGTGGGAGAATATCTTTACCAACTACTTTTCTGACAGGGAATTAATATCCAGAATATATAAAGCACTCAAAAAACTTAACACCCAAACAAACAAGGGAACCCCCAAATAACTCAATCAACAAATAGGCAAAAGAACTATATAGACATTTCTCAAAAGAAATATAAATAGCCAACAAATATTTGAAAAAAATGTTCCACAACCCTAGCAATAGCAAATCAAAACCACATCGAGATTTCATTTCACTCCAGTTAAAGTGGCAATAGTGAATAATAAAAATAATAATAAATGCTGGTAAGGATTTCAGAGAAAAGGTATAATCATACATTGTTGGTGGGAATGAAAACTAGCACAACTAATTTGGGAAACAGGATGGACATTCTTCAAAAGAGTAGGAATGGATCCACCATATGCCTAGGTATTCGTCTTCTTGGTATTTATCCAAAAGACCTAAAATCACCATACTATAGGGATATAGGCACATCCAAGTTAAAATCACAATAGCCAAGTAATGGAACATTCCAGGTGCTCATCAACAGGTGAATGGATAAAGAAAATGTGGGGTATACATAAAATGGTGTTTTACTGAACCATAAAGAAGAATGAAATTATGCCATTTGCTGGTAAATGGATGTAACTAGAGAATATCATGCTAAATGAAACAAGCCAGACACAGAAAGTCAAAGATTTAATGTTTTCTCACATATGCAGAAGCTAGAGAGAAATATTAACTTAAAAAAGTAGTCTCATGAAAAATTGGAGAACAGTGGAGTAGAGGAAGGGATCAAAGGTGGAGGGAAGGGAGATGGGGAAAGGGGGAAACTGTGGAGTGAAATTTACCAATTTAAGCTATGGACATATATAAACATACCACAGTGAATTTTACCTTTATGCATTTCTCTCAAGTAGCAATTAAAAAAATAACAATAGATGGAGGGCCAATAGAGTAGAGGAAGAGGAAGAGTAGGAGGGAGGCGAGAGGGAAGGAGAAGTCACTCTGGACTGAAATGAAGCAAATTGTATTATGCGAATGCATGAATATGTCAAAATGAACCCAACTATTTATTTATAATTCATTAATAAAACATTAAAAAGTGCCTAATAAAAATAGAAGGGAGAACAATGGAGTAAAGGAAGGGGATTGAGGAGGAGTAAGAAGGAACAAGGAAAGAGGAGAAATTCGAAGTACAGTTGACAAAAGCATGCGATGTGCATATATGAATATGTCACAGTGAATTCCACTTTTAAGTATAATACTTAAAAACAAATTAAAAGAAAGAAAACCAATAAAGTAAAGGAAGCAGGTGAATAGGAAGGGGGAGGGATGGGAAGGAGGCATCACTGGAGCTTGAAATGGAGCAAATTATGTTATATAAATTTATTAATAGGTAACCCCCCACAATTATGTGCAACTATAATGCATTAATAAAATTAAATAATTAAAAAAAGAACAATAGGGTGGAGTAATATGGCTTATTGTATGCTTCTGATCTCCTAAATATATTTATGTATTAAACTTTTTTGATCAAGCCTGTTGAGATTTTGGAGAAGCAGGCAATAGGTAAAAAGGTTAACTGTACTTAAAATACTTGGTCAAATGTTAAATGTTAAAATCAACTGGAATGGCTGCATGGCTCAGTGGTTACACAGGTGACAAAATTATTCAACTTCTGATTTTAGCCCAGGCACTTAGCTGGGAAAGTAAGTGGCATGCTTCTCCATATTGATGGTCTGAATCCCCCTGAATGCAATTTTCCCTGCTGGTTTTAATCATGTTCTGTCAGGTGCATGTTAGATCACACAGTAAGCACTGGTTGGGACAGTGTGACAATATTTGCTATGGTCTCCAGGGTTCTCACAATGTGGTTTCTCCACTCACAAGTTGAGAACCAGAGCACTTTTAAAATACCCAGCTAACTGTGCAGCCTCTAGAGCAGCTTAGTTCTGAGTTTCCTTCTGTTCTACAGGTATTTACATGCCAAATTTGTCTGCTGTATTTCTCTTTCCCTTTGGGTTACCACTATCTTCTGTGGTGACCCAGCACGACTGCTGCCTCTGGCTTAGTGTGCATGCACTCTTTCTTGTCCTCTGTTCAAGAAATCAGTGTTTTGGGGTCTTTCTGAGTCTCTGACTCTCCAATATTAATTTTTTTTGAACTCCCACTGTCACTCACCTTGCTGAAAAGTAGTATTCCTGCTGCTTTAATTCTGAGCTGCACAGGTTTCTTCTACTTTGCCATCTTTTGGGAAGTGTCTGGTATTTCCGGTAAAATGTTTGGACATCTGTCTTAAAGATATGAGAAACTTGAAAATGGAAAGGAGATCCTAAAATGGATAGCAGAGAAGAGGAATGGGACCAGGGGAAGGAAGGAGAGGGAAAGGGGAAATCCTGGGGAATCATACTGGTCAAGTTATATTGTTATATTGTGTGAAGGTATAAATATGTAACAATAAATCCCACCATTATGTACAACTGCAATGCACCAATAAAGTATGAAAAATAAAAAACTGCTAAAGACTCCTAAATTGAAGAAAAAGACATAATCAACTTAAAAGCCCATTCGTAAAGATAAGCATTACCAGTATACCCAGGACTATCAGTACCGTAATAGTCCTCATAATTCTAGCCTGATGTTCTTTTCTTATACTCAGGTTAATAATGTTATTTGGCCCTATTTTTTTCTATAATTTTTTTCTGTCAGGGGAATATAGTTACATATCTTTTTTTGTATACTGGAAATGAAAACTGAGGACTTAAAAATTTGTATAACTTTCCTATGCACATATATGAATACACCACAG